GGTGACCTCTGCCCCGGGACCCCAGAAGACTCATCCACATCTCTTCATGCAAAATGCATTTAGTCCATCGCTTCAGAGGCGTCACGGTGCAATGCGGTTCAGCACTGCTGAAGGGGCCAAGTGCAAAGTCTCCTCTGAGATTTCAGGCAAACCCCTAGCTGTGAGTCCTTGTAAAAATCAAGAGAAAGTTAAACATTGCAAAGTTCAAAATCACAGGCAAACACTCCCATGCCAAAAGAAGAAATGGGGGCAGAAAGAAAAAGAACAAAAGCAAGACCTAAACCCTGCAGGGCAGACAGCAAATCCTGCAGCTCCTTGTTCTGCAGCTGGGGTAATCTGTGGGCAGATGTGAGCTCCACGGTTTGGGCAGCCCCACCTCTATGCCCTCATGGCTCCCCTCGGGCCAGCGTTGCCCTCTCCTTGTGGCTTTCCTCAGACCTTTCACTTTGCTGGCTATCCCAGTGTCCTGGGGTCTCCACTGCCTCTTTGGCTTCACACTTACAACTTCACACGTTGCTCTCTCAGGGGTATATACATTCCCTGGCCTCTCAGGCTGCCTTCTGGAATTTGGGTGGAAGCGTCCCTAACCCCACAACTCCCTCGTTCTGGGTGTGCATAAAACCAGCACCAGATGGATGATGCCAAAGGCTGCTGCCCAGCTGGGAAGTAGCCAAGCCCTTCTGCATCTTGCTGGAGATAGCAGAGGCATTTGAGTGCCTGGATACCTGACTCCTGGGGAATCAGTTCCCTAGGCAACCTTTCTCCAACATAGTGCCTAGAGGTCTCTTCTCAAAGCAAAGCCTTGCACTTCTGCAATCTTGAGCCCGCAAAGAGGTCTTTTGGACCCGTCTCCCAGCCTTCAAGATATCCTTTGTACTGTCCAGATCCAAAGTACTTGGCTTTTTGGTTTGTTTTGTTTTTTGAGGTGGGTCTCGCTATGTATTTCAGGCTGGCCTTGATTCACTATGTAGCCCAGCCTGGCCTTGAACTCATGGCGATCCTCCTGCCTCAGACTCCCTTGTACTGGGATTGTAGGCATGCACCGCCACACCTGGCTTCTTGGCGTCTTGGCTTCTTTTTAATGCTAAACTTTTTAGCAACCAAGCTCTCCTCTGCTTCATCTTTGCAGGCTCCCACCTTACTGGAACTTCCTTTCAGGCCCAACCCAAAACTTTTAAAATCTTTCTGCTGTCCCCTTTGCTCTTGATTCTCAAGCAAGAGCTGGCTAAAAGCCCTCAACCATACCCAAGGGACCACTTCAACATTAGAGTGGATTGAAACGTCTTCTGCCAGATTCATAATCTCAGACTTCTGCGACATCTCAGGACACAGTGTAAAATCCAGGGGAAGAGGGAAGGCCAGCAGATACCGCCAGGCCTGTGGAAAGGCAACATGTCATTCACCTTGTCGTGCCCTGGTACAGAGCGTGATGACACCGTCTGCCCCGCAGGGAGGAGTGCGTCCCTTTCACAGGGGTAGAGAGAAGGCAGGGGATATTACACGGGAAGATCCCAGTGGATGTGTGTGGTTACAGTTCTCTGGCAATCTTGCATCTCAGGGGCAGAGTCCTTGAAGTGTCTGATGTGAATTCTGGGGTGTCCCCAGGACCTGAAAACTGCCTTGTCCCATCTTCTTTTGTGTGTTTGCTGATGACGTGACAGCCTTGCTGAGCTGAATCCCCTGCAGAAGGGAAGGTAAGCAGGCTGGGGGCTGGGAGAGTCGGGTCCGATTTGGATCTTACAAGAGCAGAGAAGGTAGGCAGATTTTCTGTTAGAGCGTAACCCATAGGGCCTGGAGTCCAACTACCAGTGGGGTCCTGGTCCCCAGCTGAAACCTCCCAGGCCTGGTCTTTATCATCTGTCTTCTTATCAGCATCTTGTTCTCCAGAACTCCAACCAGAATCTCCCGTTAAGCCCGACCCAGAGCACTCTGGTGCTGCTCCCCTCCTGGCCTGTCCAGCCTCCTCCTGGGAACCACTTCCAGAGGCTTCTGAACCACGTGGTCAGGCAGCGGCCCAGCAATGATCACATGTCTCCCCCGCCTTTGCCCTCTCTGTTTGTTTGTTTTGTTTTGAGGCCAGGTCTCACTATGTAGCCCAGACTGGTTTTGCCTTCACAGCAATCCTCCTGCCTCAGCCTCCTGAGTGCTGGGATTATAGGAGTATAATGTCACCACGCCTGGCTGAGTTTCATATTGGGGGCATATGGTACTCAGGATGGACCCATGATCTTCACACTGAAGTACATTCCTAGCCCTTCTAAATATTTTTAGAAGGCAAGCATGTGGCAAGCATGAGGCCGTGAGTTCATTCCCTGGTACCAAAAAAAAAAAAAAAGAAAAGAAAAGAAGACAGGGTCTTGGTAAGAGCTGGGCTCAAACTCACAATCCTCCTGCCTCAGCCTCAGAGTCCTGGGATTACAGGCAAGCGCCATTAACCCGGTTCTCCGTTTCCTTCTTGGATTTCTCAGTGATCCCAGGTGTGACTTGGTTGCATACACGCTAAGCAGTGGCCTCATAACCCAGAGGGACTTAGATAATGACAGCAGGGAAGGGAAAACAGGGTCCCCACCAGGGGGCGTCTGGGCGGCCTTATCAGGGAGGTGGCCCACAGGGGTCTGCGTCTGGAAGGACAGAACCACAGGGCCTCACCTGCGTGGGGCAGGTTTTAGGATCATTCTGTGTATTTTTAAGGTTTGTTTCTTCTGTGCTTTCACACCTGCTCACAAATGTATCATCTATAACTGGGGAAATACTTGTGAAATCACTGTTAAAAGCCAGTTTCCTAATAGAATTGCCAGGCCCCCAAGGGCTGTGTGTGTGTGTGTGTGTGTGTGTGTGTGTGTGTGTGGGAGTGGGGTGAGCAGGAAGGAGGGAATTGGCTGACATCTGGGGACTCCGACGTATTCACCAGGAGGCTGGAGATTGGACTAGAGTGCTCAGAGCATGCTGGGACATTTTCCAGGTGGCCTGGTTACTAGGCAGAGTTGCCAGGCACTGGTGCACCCCCCTCTCTCCCCTCCATCTTCATCCTTAGGCAGCACAGACCCTCCCAGACTCCCCAAGACGAGAGACTTCTTAGAATCACCTACACCTTAGTCTGACTCTCCAGGAAAACCTTCAGTTTTCTTCCCCAGAGTGGTTAAAATGTACTTCCCCAGGGGAAGGTCCCTCATGCTAAACCAGTATGTCTGAGGGGGGTTTGGTAGGAGAAGCAGAAGGGGACGGAGAAACAGGGAGGGGAGGGGGTTAGAATGTAAATTCCTAAACCCGGCATAGTGGAGCACTCAGGAGGCTGAGGCAGGAGGATCCTTGCAAATTCGGGACCAGTTGAGGCTGCAAAGTCAGCTCAAGGCCAGCCTGAATCACATAGTGAGACCCTGTCTCAAAAAAAAAAAAAAGTAAATTCCCAGGTGCACTGTGCAGATAAAGATTTCCAAGGATGCATCCTAGAGTGTTCATTTTAGAGGTGTAGGGTAATTCTCTGTGCTCACTGAATGTAGAAAATACTCTCTTTACTAATCAGTTAATGAAAAATTAATAAGAGACACATATTTGAGGCCCTGGTCAAACCCCACCCAGCTGCTCCCAAGAAACTGAACAATTTGCAAATCCACCCTCCCACCCCTGTCCCTGCCAGGACTTCTCAGTGATTCTTTTATTTATTTATTTTAAATATTGCATTGTATCAAATCGTATGGTATTGCATTGCATTGTATTATATTTTCCAGTACAGGAGATTGAACCCAGGGTCTTCACACTGAGCTACTGCAAATCTTTTTTTCTTGTTTTTTTAGAGACAAGAGTCTCACTGTATAGTTTACTTTAAAAAAAAATTTTTAAAGTTTGTTCTGTTCTGAGACAGAACAATGTCTATGTAGTTCAGGCTGGCCTTGAACTCACTGTAGAGCTCAGGCTGGTCTCAGGGTCCTGAACACTGGGATTACAGGCATGCACCACCATGCCCAGCTTTACTGTGTAGTTTAGCACTGAACTCAATGTGTAGCCCAGACTGGCTTCACATTTGCAGCAATTCTTTTGTCTCAGTCTCCCTTTGCTTGAATTACAGGTATTGCCACCACACCTGGCTGGTTTTGTTTGCTTTTTTGTTTTTTCTGCCTTTTTTGAGACAGGGTCTCACTGTGCAGTTCAGGCTGGCCTTGAGTTTACTTTGCAGCCCAGGCTAGTCTGAAACTCGAAAAGATCCTCCTGCTTCAGCCTCCTGAGGCACAAGTGTGCCTCACCACGCCTGGTTTGTTTGTTTGTTTGTTTTGAGACAAAGACTCATCACGTTGGCCATATCACCCTGATCGTGCCCGATCTCATCTAATCTCGGAAGCTAAGCAGGGTCGGGCCTGGTTAGTACTTGGATGGTGGTGGTCCTCCTGCCTCTGCTTCCTGAGTGTGACATTACAGGTGCATGCCACCATGTAAGCTCAAATGAAATAATTACTCTGAGTTTTTTTTTTTTTTTTGGTCCTTTTTTCATTTTTATCGGTGCCAGGGATCGAACTCATGACTGCCTACTTGCAAGGCAGGCGCTTATGCCATTGAGCTAAATCCCCAGCCCCCAAATAATTACTTATTATGAATATTGCTCTTTGTGCCCACTTAAGAAATTTTAGTTTTTCCCCTGGTTTGCAAAGTTTTGTTATAAAAGGGTTATTGTTTTACCTTTTACATTTAGGTCTATGACCCATCCCGCCTCCTTTTTTTCCCCCTGTATTGGGGATCAGATCGAGTCCCATCTCAATGAGCTGCATCCGGGCCCCCTCCTTTTTTGTTTCGAGACAGGGTCTTACCAAGTCATTTAGTTGCTCAGGCTGGATTTTGAACTTGTGGTCCTCCTGTCTCAGCCTCCCAGAGTGCTCAGGCAGCAGGATTGCGCCACAGGCCTGGCAGGTCCTTCTTTAGTTAATATTTGTGTGTGGTATGAGGTAAAGGTTATGTTTTTATTCCTTGTTTTGTGTTGCTAAGGACAAAATCTGAGCAAGTGTTCTACCACTGAGCTCCATCTCAGCCCCTTTGCTGTGTTCCAAAGGGCTTGCTCTATGGCTCCACCCCTTACTGGGGGAAGAATTCTCTCCTCCCCTGAACTGCACCTGCCCCGTGTCAGAAGTCAACTACATGTTCTTTCTTTCTAGACTGCTCTGCTGACCTGTTTATCTTTTTGCCAATTCTATACCTTCTGAATGACTGGTTTTATGGTAAGTCTTGAAATCTCATCACATTGTTCCCTGTTTCAAGATACCTAGGCTGGGGCTGGGGATTTAGCTCAGTGCATAAAGTGCCTGCCTTGTAAGCAGGCAGTCGTGAGTTTGATCCCTGGTACTGATAAAAAGGAAAAAGAATCAGTTTTGGGATCAGTTCCTATATTTCCTGGGTGGCTTTAATCTCTCTATAAACATGCCCCAGCCCGCCCCAGGCTAGCCCCAGGGTCTTTACACTGGGCTACATCTCCAGCCCCTCTCCCACCCCTTTTTTTAAATTTTGACACAGAATCTCTCTATATCCCAAAGTTTCCCAGGGCGGGTTTCAATTTTCCATCTTCCTGCCTCAGGCTGCTAGGGTGCTGGGCTTTTAACTGTGAAGCAGGACACTGGGCCCTGCTTGATTTTTACCCAAGGATGGATCACCCCACAGCACTGCGCCCAAAGGCTGCTCCATCTCAAATCAGGGGCCTCCCCCTTGGCCTACTGTGCAGACCCCCACACGGACCCAGCCAGCTCTCTGGATTCCTCATTGTGGCCCCGGCCTTAGCTTGTCCTTGAATGGAATTTGCACCCTATTCTGTGATTCGACAGAAATGTACGTGAAAATCTCACAAGTAACCCGGGCAGCACTGTGTGCTTTGTAAAAAGGATGGATTGTGCACCAGGAGGGTTCCATGGAACCAGATAAGATAAAATGAAGCTGGAACTGTTGCTCATACAGAAACAAATTCCAAATGGAAGCTGAGTAAGGTGGCAAGTGCTTCTAATCCCAGCCCTCCGGAGGCTGAGGCAGGACAACAGCTGTGAGTTCGAGGCCAGCCTGAACTACATCGTGAGATCCTGTTTCCAAAACAAAAACAAAGCTGCCATGTCCTGTGCAGCTTTCAAAACTGGGAGGAGGTAGGACAAGAGGATGGAGAAATAAAGGTAAGAGACAATACGTTAAGCTGAAGTCAGCTGGAGCCCTCTCTCTGGGTGGGAGGAAAGGAACCGCTCAACCACAGCACGGTTTTATTTATACTTTTGTATAAATGAGCGTAACTATTAACTAGCTCACCTGTCATGCTAGGTATTCTGGGGGCAGGAACACCTCTCCACCTGGCGGCTCCATGCCCTCTGGGCACTTTTGGCTTGATCACTAGCTCAGCCTCAGCAGCCCCAGGCCCAAACCCAAAACCAAAAACCATCCCCTAAATCAAAATGCAAACGATACACTTGGAAAAAGATTCAAATACATGTTTATGGCGTGGGACTAATATTTTTAATGAAAAAAGCAGTGACTATACATTAATGAGAAAAGATATCAGCCTAAAAAGAATGACCAAAGGACATACCAGATTGATCACAGAAATACAAATGTGTCCCATACAGATGAAAACATGCCATGTATGATTCATAATCTCAGAAATGGGAATTCACGTACAGCAAGATTTTTGTTTTCCACTGTGAAATTATCAGACACAAAAACTTGGGAACACACAGCTTTTCCACAGGAAATTGGCCTTTGTGCTTGCTACAGGCAAGAGTGCAGGTTAGTTCGACCTCTGTTAAGTGTGTTTAGGGAATATTTATCCAACTGGAAGGTGAAAAAGCTGTTTATGAAAGCATGTGAGGGGGTTGGGGATTTAGCTCAGCAGCATATGCACCTGCTTTGCAAGCAGGCAGTCGTGAGTTCGATCCCTGGTGCCGATTTAAAAAAAAAAATTATGTGAGTAGTGGTATCATTTAGGGAATTCCGTACTCCCTGGCTGTTCAGTGGCCCCAAAGCTGGTTTCGAGGTTCCCAGGACACTTCTATTTTAAAACAAAACAACAACAGGTAAATTTCATGGGGTATAGATTATCTACTCAACAAAGCTGAACACAAAACTATAAAAATACCATATTTGCTCTATGCTATTAAGCAAGAATAAGTGCCGTGAATATAGCACGAGTCCGGAATTCTGTTTTGGGTACCAAAACAAACAAACAAGGCAAAACGAAAACAAAACAAAATCCAAAAACAAAGAATGAAAATGAGACTAGGAATCCTAGCTGATTTGGAAAGGGGCCTGGCAATCTGGTGTTCAGACGCCACCTGGAGGCTAGGATACGTAATGCAAGTCAGGTGTACCCTTTTTTTGTTTGTTTTTGGTTTTTCTCTCATTTCCTCTCCTTTGCCCCGGTTGAAAACAGAAACTTACACCTGAGATACATCTGCAGATTTTTTTTTTTTTAATTTGAGGTAGGGTCTCATTAAATCACTGTTGTCCGGGCTGGGCTCACATTCATGATCCTCCTGCCTCAGCTTCCCAAGTGCTGGGATTACAGGTATCTGCTACCACACCTGGCTGGTTTTTAAAAATATTTTACCTTAAACAATATTTTTTATCATGAGATGGTTTTACTAAGTCACTCAGTTGCCCAGTGTGAGCTTGAACCTCTTGCCTCAACCTCCCACAGTGCTGGGATCCAGGAAGGTGCTACCACTCTGGATTTTGTTGTATGTTTTCTTTGTCTTTCCTTTACATGGATGACAGCCCATTCCTCGCAGAACTCTATGAGGTAAGACCTTTTATTATCATCATTTTACAAATGAAGAAACCCAGGCACGGAGATGTCCCCTCTCTTGCTTAGGATCATAGTTGACAAATGTCAGAGACTAATTTGGAGCCAAATTTGTTTGAGTTCAGAACCAGAGTTGCTCTTTATTCTATTTGCCAAAGAGTGGGAGATCCGCCACACAGTCTGTGAAATGGGCCGCTGTCCTGTGCATTCTGTGAAGGGTTAGGGTGACGTAGCAGGACGGATCCATCAAGATGGGACAGACAAGCTGGAAGAGTCTCAGGGCGGAGACGGAGAACCAGCACATTCGTGTTATTTTGGTTTCCCTTCTCCTGGTTTAAGAGCGAACACCAACACCTCACTGCTCTTTTGGAAGACAGTTTCTCCTTCTTTTTCTTCTTCTTCTTTTGTTTGAGACAGGCTCTCACCATGCATTTCACACTGGCCTTGGACTCCCTTCACTTACATAGGCCAGGTTGGCCCCAAACTCACAGCAATCCTCCTGCTTCAGCATCCCAAATACTGAAACTACAGGCCTGTACCACCACACCCAGCTGCTTTCTCTTTCTTTCAATCTTTCTTTCTCTTCATTCTTCTGGATCTTTTTCTTTTTCTTTTTTTCCAGTAGTGGGGATTGAACTCAGGTCCTTCACACTGAGCTACATCTCCAGCTCTTTTTATTTTTAAAATATTTTATTTTGAGACAAGATCTTGCTAGGTGGGAAGGGAAGGGAAGGGAAGGAAAGGGAAGGGAAGGGAAGGGAAGGGAAGGGAAGGGAAGGGAGGGGAGAGAAGGGAAGGGAATATTTTAGGAACGAGTCTGTAAGACAGATTCAGTAAGCTGAAGAATCAAGACACAGTTCTGATGGCAAACAGGAAATAAGTGTCAAGGCCACAGTGCAGACACCCCAGAGATCTGCTCAAGCAAACTCACTGCAGGTCTGTCTTCTGTATCCTCAATCCCGAGAGGAGATAGGGTTCTCTTTATGCAAATTAGCTCCTCTTATCTTGGGTGTATTTCAAACAATACCTGTATGTTCTTTCTAGGGGAAGGCAGAAACTACACTGAGCTTGCCTGAAGCTCTGCAGGAGCCGAGAAGGACTCATTAATGGCCCAAGCTATCCCTAGCCATGTCCAAATGTCTGGTTTCCTAGTTGAGAGCCCAACAGGTTCCACAGAAGCAACAATACAGTATTTCCTGATGCCCAGCATGAGGTCCACTGTGTCTGGGAGCAGATGATCTTAACTACTGCCTGTCTGTCCACAGGGCAGAGTAATTCCTCCACTCAAGGGCAGCGCCTACCTTTCTCCATCTTGGCTTTAACCTGAGGCTCCTCAGTGGGAAGCACACACTCCCTCAAGACTTCTCTAGGAAGATGTGCCTCCTACACAGGCTCTTTGGAATAAGAGCTAAATCAGCCAATAACACAGACAGGTCATAAATGAACTCAAATCTCTTGTTGTTCCTGATACCAGCCAAACCTTCACCTTTGTCTCCTCTCTGTCCTTGATTCCTGAACAGCTTGGCCCATAGGGGCACACTGGTAACTTTTTGGGAGGATAAATGAGAACATTATGTGATTCACTAGACATTACCATGAATGAATGTTGGACTTTATCAGAAGCTTTTCTGCATCCACAGGAATGATCATGTGGTTTTTACTTTTGGCTTTATTGATATGGTGGATTACATTTATTGATTTATGTATGTTGAACCATCCCTGCATGCCTGGGATGAATCCCACTTGGTTGTGGTGTATAATCTTTGTGATAATTTGCCACATCCTGTTTGCCAATATTTTATTGAGGATTTTTGCATCTGTGTTCATTAGGGAGATTGGCCTGTTATTCTCTTTTTTAGTGGGGTCTTTCTCAGGTTTTGGTACTAGAGTAATATTTGCTCCCAGGAATGACTTAGGACAAATTGCTTCCCTTTCAAATTCATTGAAGAGTTTGAGGAATGTGGGCTTTCAGTCTTTGTATTTCTTATAGAATTCTGCAGTGAATCTGTCTGGGCCTGGCTCTTCTTTGTAGGTAAGGACTGAATTAGATTTTCAATTTAGTTAATAGAATTTGGGTTATTCAGCAATTTTACATTTTCTTGACCCAGCTTTGGCACTTCATATGCTTCTAAGAATCTGTCTATTGCTTGTGTGTTTTTGAACCTATGAGAGTAGAGGTTTTCGAAATAGGTGTTGATGATCTTCTATATTTCCACAGAGTCTGTAGTGATTTCACATTTTTCATTCCTTATAACATGAACTTGAACTTTTTCTTTCCTTTATAAAATAAGGTTGGCTAGGGGCTTATCAATTTTATTTATTCCTTCAAACCAACTCTTTGACTTACTGATTCTTTAGGTTGTTTTTTCAGTCTCTATTGCATGAATTTCTGCTCTGATTTTTATAATTTCCTCCCTTCTTTTGGCTTTGGGCTTTACTTGCTCTTCTGTTTTTAGATGTTTGAGGTGTAACATCAGGTTGTTTGTTTGTATTCATTCTGTTTTCCTTACGTGGAGATTCAGTGCAATATATTTTCCTCTGAGGACTACTTTTATGGCATCCCACAGATTCTGGTAAGTTGTATATGTATTTTGCTTATAGGTATTAATTTCTTTGTTACTTTCCCTTGTGACCCACTGATTGCTCAAGCGTGTGTTATTCAATTTCCACGTGTTTGTGGGGTTTTTGCAGGATCTTTTATCATTAATTTCTCATTTCTTGGTGCTGTGACCTGATAACACACATGGAATAATTTCAAATCTTTTGCATTTATTTAAATATGTGCTGTGGGCTGGTATATGCTTTCATTTAGAGAATGTCCCATGTACTGCTGAGAAAAATGTATATTCTGACTCTCCTGATTGAAGAAGGTCCCTGGGCATAATCTAAAGTGGCCACGAAAACTCCCCGCCTAGTCTAGTGTGGCTGGAAGCTGGGCGGGTCTTGACCACTGGGAGCAATTATCTTAAAAATTCCCGGTGCCTGGGATGGAACACAGGAACTCACACCACCCTATGTGGAGATACTTTAACACAAAAATTTAGGACAGAATTCATTCCAAATTTTCATAGATTTTAATGTTTCAATGTGGTATACAATTCCTTTTTATTAAAATGAAACAATAAAATGTAACATCATTTAAATGTGGTTCTAAGATTTTATTTTCTCTTACATGCAAAAAACAACATTACTGAAGACGATACTGTATAAAGGAAATGCATTGAATTCAGATCTTAAACTTTAATCACTCTAGTTTTAGGAAAAAGAAACAACTAAATACCTTTTTATGAAACATTTCAAATAAAATAACTCGTGTATCCTTCACATTAAGAATGAAATATGAAGAATAATAAGTTCATATACGGTCCCACAACTTTCTCT